GCGCACGAAAGTGCATGGTTAATGGTTGTAAAACTGAAACTGATTCAACTCGGCAGGAAGTAACCAAATATTTACGAGAAAACTCAAAGGAGATGACTAAAACCATCAATATCACATTTCATCATAAACGGAAATCAATACTGAGGTATGGTGACGGCCTCGCAATCCCTTCTGAGTGAGGAAAAGCATGCGAACAGAGAATTACGAACACAAAGGAAAAGATACATCGTAGCAAAAACGGTAGAAAAAGACTCCATAAACAGAACTTACCGCTTGCTCAATTTTGAATGTACCACCTTGACTTTCAATTGACTGTTTGATCGTGTCCAGCACACGATTCAGATGTTCCACACCATCGCTCCATTCCATAGTTTGTGCAGTTAACACATAAAGCGGAGGTGCAATCAAATTGATCTGGAACGAAAAACAGCACGAATGGTTGACAATGTGAATGCATCCGATGCAGAAACGAGACGAAGCCGAACAGACACCATAGCCCCTCGAATATATATATATATATCATAACAAGTAGTGTACCAATGACCAGACAATAATTACCTGGAAGCACATGACCGGTTTCGCGGTTCTTGCCGCTCTTCAGGCATGCGTATGCGGTAATCTTCTATAAGTTCATCCATATACTAGTACCAAGGAAGTGTAATTTCGTCGCAATAGCCTCATTTGCAACACCGGGTATATTTACCCGATGACGAAAATATATTTCCTGGGTACAAGTATACGAATGAAAACGCATACTACTTATTATAAAAATATATACTTTTTTATTACACACTTTCGTGTGATGAACAGCAGACGGGGTGGAACCCCATAATCACGAAGACCTGCTGTTCAGTGATGGAAACCGGTAACCTAAGCCCCGGGACTTGGAGTGGTAAACCACATAAGGCCCCGACATATCATATTCGTCTATACATCCAGATTGACAAATGACGTGTGGCAAATGCATACTTACAGGAATGGGTGTACGGATGGGCGACAGTTAGCCGGAGTTAAGAGGGTGTAAACGCAAACTACGTTCAGTCATACCGTTGGTGTTCAAAACAAAACAGGTTATAGGTTGACCTTCATGCCCGTTTCTTTAAGTTAACGTATCTAACGCACAAGATCAACATGCAGTCACAGTGACACACGTATGGAATAATCACGGGAGTACTCCAAAAATAACCCTCAGAAAGAAAATCGACGTATTGATAACTAAAATTTAACTCTATAGGCGATTAGGTACAGCCGTAGATCCCGTAGATTCCATCACGAAACGGC